GGGGGGGGGGGGGGGGGGGCACCCAAATATTTGGGGGGCACCCAGGGGTGAGTGAGGGACACCCAGATACGCGGGGGGGGCACCCAGGGGTGGGGAAGGGTCCCCAGCTGAGGGGGATGGGGGGTCCCGGGGGGTTTTGGGGGAGGGTCTCGGTGATTTTGGGGGGGTCTGGGATGGGGGATTTGGGGGTCCCAGGAAATTTGGGGGTCCCAGGGTGGAATTAGGGGGTGTTTTCGGGATATTTGGGGGGTATTTGTGGGATATTTCGGGGTATTTTAGGGATATTTTAGGGGTATTTGGGGGTATTTTGGGGTATTTCAGGGATATTTTTTGGGTATTTTAGGGATATTTCAGGGATATTTTAGGGGTATTTTAGGGATATTTTAGGGGAATTTAAGGGGAATTTGGGGGTCCCCAGCTGCATTTTGAAGGTTTGGGGTGGTGTCAGGAGATATTTTGGGGGTCCCGGGGTGGGTTTAGGAGACGTTTTGGGGGTCCCAGGGTGGGTTTAGGAGACGTTTTGGGGGTCCCGGGGTGGGTTTAGGAGACGTTTTGGGGGTCCCCACCTGCGTTTTGAGGGTGCAGAGCAAGGTCCTGCCCCGGTAGAGCCGCAGCTCCCCCGAGGGTCCCGGGGGGGTCCCCAAGGCCACCAGAGCAGCCCCCAGACCCCTCCCGGGCAGCGCCGCCCCCGCCAGCCCCGAGATGGGTCCCGGCAGCCGCAGCGCCCAGAGCCGGCGGCCCTGCGGGAAACGGGGCTCAGGAGGGGTCTGGGGGGGATTTTGGGGGGTCCCAGAAGGGTTTTGGGGGGGATTTGGGGGTCACCTGGGGGCTGAAGGCCTGCAGGGTCCCGTCGGCGGTGGCAGCCAGGAGCCCCCCGTCCTGTGGGATCAGCCCGGCGGGGCGCGAGCCCAGCACCCCCAAAATCCTGCCCTGCTCCCGGGACCTGGGGGTGCCCCAAATCCTCAATAAACCCCCCAAAATAACCCCAAAATAACCGCCAAAATAACCCCAAAATAACCCCAAAATAACCCCCAGAACCCTGCCGTGCTCCCGGGACCTGGGGGCACCCAAAATCTGCAATAAACCCCCCAAAATAACCCCAAAATAACCCCAAAATAACCGCCAAAATAACCCCAAAATAACCCCAAAATAACCGCCAAAATAACCCCAAAATAACCCCAAAATAACCCCAAAATAACCGCCAAAATAACCCCAAAATAACCCCAAAATAACCCCAAAATAACCGCCAAAATAACCCCAAAATAACCCCAAAATAACCCCAAAATAACCGCCAAAATAACCCCAAAATAACCCCAAAATAACCCCAAAATAACCGCCAAAATAACCCCAAAATAACCCCAAAATAACCCCAAAA